GAGGTTCACCGCACGTACTAACAAGCGTTTCTACGTCCAGGTCACACAACAGTTCTGCAAAAGCTTGTTGGATTGTTTCCAACATCTCTTTCTTCCAACCCAGCCAGTCCCATCCCATCCACAGGGGCACCAAAGTCTCCTCGCAACTCTTTGCTCCAGAGCAAATCAATCCTGACTGAAGGAAGACCCTCAACGTCTTCACTACCAAGCAGAGCCACGGAAGTCGTGGCAAAGACCAGGCCTCGGACAGTCACCCTCGAGCAACCCAAGTCATCACAGCCTCCTGCCAGTGTACGCTGGGACCCTGCTCTCCTGTCTTCTTCGCAGCCCTCGTCACGGAGGAACACTGCGACCAGCTCAACTGCTCCGGGACCTAAAGGTCTTAAAGTCCGGATGGTCACCTGGAACATGCACGACTCGTTGCCCAAGGTGCGTTTGCCTTGCGCGTTTCCATATATATTCAACTGCGGCCTCTGTAATCTAATCTTGCACTGCTTAGGGTGAACTGGAAGAACTGCTAGGCAAAGTTCCAGCGTACACAGGACCTACTTGTCCTCCAGGCACATTCCCGACGCTCCCAGCAGGCTCTGATCATCCGTATCACTTTGTTGTCGTCGCCGGGCAAGAATGCCCTTCGTCGTCTGGGATTCCGATGGCCCTCGGAGCGGGTATCAAACAGCTTATAGACCGTGAACGTGAAAAGGAAAAGGACTATATCAAGGGACTCGACCTCTCTCCAAAGGAAAACAAATCAGAGCTCGAAGCTGCTACTTCTCATCTTGGACGCCTGAACCAACAGGAAAAGGAGTTGGACGAGGCTATTCTCAAGTCGGCGAAACATAGTCGGGAGAGGGAGCGAGACAAGGACAAGGACAAGGAGAAAGACAAGGATAAGGATCAGGAAGAGGTTCCGGTGGGGTGGACGTCGATTGTAGCGGATTGGTTGTGCAATGGAGGGAATTTTGGGTTGGTGAGGAGCAAGAGCACAAAGTTGGGCTCGGTTTTGGAAGTGACTACGCCCAAGGGTGTGAAGAAGGCCATGTCGATTAAGGAGAAGGACAGTTATTTTAACGGAAAGGATGCAAAGGAGCAGAAGAGGACTGGACCGTATCAGTTGCTCGTCAAGGAACGGCTGTTGGGTATCTATCTGGCGATTTATATCCATAGGGATCTCAAGCCCTTTGTTAAAGGTCAGTTGAATTGCGTTGCTTGTGGGTTTGAACGCGTGCTCATGGAGAATAGGTGTTTCCAAGTCTGCTGTCACCGCTGGCCTTATTGGAGGGAGAGTGGGGAATAAAGGAGGCGTCGGGATTTCTATTGACCTTGACGGTACAACACTACTCTTCCTTAATGCCCACCTTGCTGGTACGCCGCCATTCTCAATCTACCCCAGAACACAAATCTTATGCCCAGCATAGCACACGAAGGCAGGGTGAGCCACAGATTGGCAAACCTGGAGAAGATCAAGGTAAGAGTCGATGAACTATGGTGGCGTTCGGCATCTCACCTTTTCTACAGACGGAGCTCGAGGTAGAAGATTTTCTGCCAGAGGATGATCCACGGAAACAGGCCGAAGGTGATATCACATCCATTCTACCTTTACAAAGGTGCTAACATGTTCACAGACCTTACAGACCGATTCGACTTTACCTTCCTCTGCGGCGACCTCAACTTTAGGCTCGACATCACACGCTTACACGCTGATTGGTTGATCTCTCGTCAAGACTACTCTCAAGCTCTCACCTTTGATCAACTGCTCAAGCTCATGAAGGCTGGGGCCAAAGAGTTTTCTGGGTTCAAGGAAGCTCCTATAGACTTTGCCCCGACTTTCAAGTATGACGTTCTCCGTACACTCAAGCGGCCTAAAGTCGTCGAAGATGGCGAAGATGAAGATGACGGGGAGTCAATATCCAGCGCCTCCACGTCATATACCCGAAATACGGAATTGGAGGTCAACAGCCCAGCGACGATGTTCAATGCTTCGCCTACGACCCCAATCATCGCTTCCTCGAGCAAGGTCTCCCTGAGCCACGTGGTATCCGCCAACAGGGCTCGGTTCAAGCTGCTCTCGCTTCAATCGCCTTTGGCAAAGCTGCAGAAGCGAAGAGGGACGCTCGATAGCCAAGCTGGGACGCCTACCAGTGCCGTTGAGAGCCCCCATGGTGGATTCCCGTTTCTTGAAACGCCGCCGCGGACCTCTGCACCACTGCAGGACGTTGCACATTCCGACTACCTAGAGCCTCCACCGAAGATCAAGGTGGAAAGTGTTGTGTCGAATATGACCAACCCAAGCCAGGATAATACCGGTGTTGATGACAAGGGCGTTTATGACAGTTCGAGCAAGAAACGGGTGCCCAGTTGGTATGTGAAATGAAATTTCTCCCCATCTCGTGAGCTGATCCTTTTGTTCAGGTGCGACCGAATATTGTGGAAGACGACTGTCATCTCTTTGCCCTCTCCTGCAGTATCGCCTGAGCCTTTCCAGGATCCTTCTCTTCTCTACCCTCCACGGCATTCGAAACACAGGTTCAAGCGCCTGCTCTCCCCTTTCCGCTCCAAGCCTGCTCAGAGCGCCAAATTCCCTCCGCCCATTCCCAAAACTCCCATAGACCCACCGTACCTGCCACCCTTGAAATCAGCACCACCACTAACACAAGCCATATTCCCAGCTATATCTCGTCCGTCGATAACCTCAGATGGGGCCCACTCGGATGCGTCACACGACTCTCCTGCAAGGAGGCCTCCATTCAGTGGGGGTCCTACGAAGAGGCAAAACCGTCGCGCCGCTACTGAAGCTCCTGGTTCAGGCACACTTCCACCAACCTCTGCTCCAGGGAGTTCTTCAGATCGGCCGACACGACGCGTCACTTTTGGTTCTTTCATGAGTCCTCTATCTGGCGGAAGCAGTACCGGCGAAATCTCAAGATGGCGGTTCCTACCAAGCTTCCTTTCTCCAACGATGAGTCGGACAAGCACGATAGAGTCGGAGGAAGAGCCTTTACCTCCGCCGACACCTCCTGTTGTTCATCGGAGAGGAGATGTCGAGTGTATGGAGTACAATACATTGGACGATAGACGGATGAGGAGGTTGGAAGGACGGAGTGATCATCGACCTGTCTTTGGGTCGTTTGTGGCATACTTTTGATCTAGACTATGACTTTTTTTTACTTCTTTCTCTTGGATACCTAGTACCCCTTTATACCCTACACACATCTCTTTGACGCTATGGCGCCCCTTCTTGCATACCACTATCGTTATCCAGTGTTGGCTCGACTAACCCTTCTCATACTCCTTCGCTGTTCCGTCCCATTAGCTATCGCTTTCCCCTCAATTGTAGTCATTCCATTCATTTAGCATCGTTCATCTCACAATGTCTAATAGCACATCTCACTCTCATTGCGACGCACGTTAATTTCCTCTCTGAGGTCCAAAACATCTGACTACCCCCTATTGCGGATAGCCGGACCGGACTCGCATCAGATTTTCTGGGTTCCCCTGTCCGCTCCTTGGTTCCGTTCAGTTACATTGCCTTGGTGCCTTCTACTCGCTCAAGATGTTCAAACGCGTCGAAAAGCGAAGGAGAAAAAAAGAGGAGGAAGAAGAACTTGGGCTTGACGAAGACATGAAACAAATCCTCGGAATGCACGATACAGATTCGGAAGAGTCGGATTCGGACGAAGATTCTTCTGGGGACGACTCTGAAGACGGATTGGGCGGTCTGGAAGGTCTGGGAGCTGACTCGGAGCTTGAAGGAGACGATGAAATCGGAGATGAGGAGGGCGTGCCCTTGGACGACGGATCTGAAAGTGAAGAGGAAGCGCCCAAAGATCTCAATCCCCACATCCCGATTTCAAAGGCTTTGCAGGATCCCATCTACCTTGACCTGGTGGATCCTATGGTCAAACTATGTCTGGTCTGTACCGGAAAGCGCCTGAAAACCGAAAACTTGGTGGAGGTCCACCGTTCGTCCAATGCATGTACGCTTTTCCTCGTTTCGCCTATTCTTGGGTTTATAACCGCCTTTTGATCATAGGCTCACCAACGCAGAGTAAAACAGTTCAAAAAACACGTTGAAGAGAAGGATGCCGACCCTTTAGGCGACGCGTTTACTTTCATTCATGAAGTCTTGCCAAAAGGGCCAGTGGTCGTCTCTGCGCCCAAACCTCTGCCCGAGGCCTCTGGTAAATCCAATCGGGCTTTGAAGAAGGTATGTTTGCTCATCCCTTGACAAACTGGATACCAGCTTATACCTTCATTGACTTGACAGGAAAGGGCAAAGGAACTTCGTAAAGCCAAAAGGGATAAGGCAAAGGAACGTCGGGCCAAAAAGGTTACCCCAGGCGAGAAGTCTGAAAAGCCTGCATCGGTACCAGACAAGGCTAACAAGAGGGCCAAGGAGGCAAAGGTTGCTGATGAACAACCAGCTTCTCAAGGTCAGGACGACGAAGATACTAGGCCCAAGAAAAAGGCACGAATCGAGACAGGAAAGTCGGGGTTGACACCAGATCCCTCGTCTCCACCAGAGAAAAAGACGAAGAACCGAAAGGCTGCAGTTACTTCGCCAGCCAAAGATGCCCCATCTGCTGTAGCTGCTCTCACAACAGCCCCTTCTACAGACCCCAGGGCTGCCGTTCGAACCTCACTCGCAGACACCATCAAAAACATTGCCAGGTCCGCAACAGACCGGGCGAAGAGCGCACGAACAAAAGCATCCTCGACAACCTCACCGAAGACCAAGGCCAAACGTCCAAAAGCAAAATCAAAGACGTAAATGCAACTTGTACGGGGAGTGGTACCCCGGGATGACCGGCACTAGCTACAAAGATAACTACACGAGGTTCCATTTCGTACTTGACACGGGGTATGAATCACATCCATTCGACGGGCTGGGGTACCCCGTACTCTATTATGCCAGAATTGCGAGCACCCTAGCCACCGGCTCTTTGCTACCCTCGTGGAACAATAGCAATTGCAAGACGAGAGCGCCTGGTGAAGCAAAATGCATTGACCGGGAGTCGAACCCGGAGCTAGGCCAAATCCACTGCTTGTGGGAAGACCCAATGTTACCGCTACACCATCAATGCTTATACTGAGTGGACTTGTAGCATGTCCGCATGGTGTAAACCATGGCCATGGTTAGCCAACGATTCATTCCGCCGACCATGCGAGGCTCAAAAATGATTAGCAACCTTCAGTGATGTGAGGCTAAACTGCCTACATGCGCATAAATGTTTGCTACCTATCTACTGCTACTGTTACAATGGTTTCGTCAATTAGTGAATTCAATAAAGTACACTGATCGTCCTGCCCCTACTTCTTCCAAAGACGCTTGACAAAATGCCTAATCTTCTGATGCTCCTCCTGCAATATCTGCCATCTGGAAGCCCATCGGTAAATTCAGGGATTTGGTAAGAGAATAAGCCATACTCACTCGACCACCAAGTCTCCTCGACCAACAACCTGTCCCCCATGCCTAATTGGCATGCCAGCTCCCTTGATCACACTTGTTCCCTTCGTAACTTTCGTACGCGGGTAATCGACCAAAAGGGAGAGTGACTGGCCATCGATTCCTAGAATCTCTGTCTGCGCTCCATACTGCCGTATGCTGTCGTCCCAAGGAATACGAATATCCAAGAGAATATCATCTCGCAGTCTTGTAAGCCTTGGGTGAGGTTTCTCCTCGACGATGAACGCAATGTCTTGCAGGACGCCAGGTTTAATTTCGTTTCCTACCCGACGACAGAACAAGCGAGACGATGGCCGGCATCCTGCAGGAATATCAATGTCAAGAGTGACCGTCCGAGAACGACCTGAAAGCAAACGGCGAACAATGGGAAACTGGAGATGAACGCCAGAGAAAAGTTGTTCCAAAGTCAACGGGAGCGAATATGTCCATTCCCCAGTGGGCCCGAGTCCAATAGAGTCCAGAGGGAGGTCGTATGGAGCCGAATGGATAGGCTGAGTCGCGACTTGACCAAATACATTCACGTACTGCTTCTCCGGGCTAGACGTTGGATGCCGAGTGTTACAATTGGGTTGAGGGACGACAAGAGAGATGGCCGGTCTGGAAGGACTGTTAGCTCGCTTACCGAAATGAATGAAATTTTAGATCACACACCTCCTCGCCGCAGGATGTGCAGCGGCGTCGCCCAGATTGGGCAAAGGGGGGCTATAGGCCGGGGCTGCAGGACGCCTTGTATTCGACATGCCTGACATAGGGGGCTTCAAATGTGACGGATGTGAAGGATGGTAGGGCTTTTGTCTAAGCTCTTCTGGAAGGTCGGGCCCAGCTCTCCAGCTCTGGTATGTAGGTACTTTGGGGTCTGGGCGATAAGGGGATGAGGTGAAGGGGGAGCTGGGCCAATTGGTATGAGTGGGAGAATCCTTGAAACTAGTGGCGGGCGTGGTTGGAGCAATTGAATCGTTGTCTGCAGAGAAGTCTGAAGAGTCTCGGGACAGCGAGCTGCCACTCGAGGACGCTGATGGGTTGCGGCCCATGACGTTCGTCTCAGGGTGCGTCGGGTAGTGCTCTTCTCGGCAGGATTCCGGGGCACCGGCGCGCATTAGTTGTCCATAGGCTTGGTTGAGCTAGGAGGGCGTCAAACCAAGGAGAGGGCACCGGCGTCCATACATACCTCGTCGAATTTCCTTTGCGCAATATGCTTGTCGCGCCCATGTTGGCTTGGATGCCAGCGGACGACCTTGACGTTCAAATGTCAGATACGCGACGGACGCATGCAGCTGCACCCACTAAATCCTTATAAGCGCGCTGTATCTCGTCGGGGGTGGCAGACTTTGAAACACCCAGTACATCAAATGGTGTACGGGAGGGCATAGCGGAGGTGGGCATACGACACAGCAGTTGAGGGGTATCCTGAAGGCACATCGATAAGGCCCGCAAGCTATATACATTGACGCAGGCGCTCCTCTTTGGCTGGAGGTGTCAATTACATACGCCGTTCAGTTTCCCTAAATCAAGAAGTCAAAGAAGCTCCACAGAAGTCAAGAGCATTCTGAGATCATGGTAAGTTCAGGGAATGAACCTAAAATGAACCAAACGTACAGGCATCATGCCTCGTGCCTCGTGGCCCCGGAAGGTCATATCGCTCGATCCGGAGTGCAGATATGAAAAGGTTTGTCACGATGACCGATGATAGCGCTGAGTGAAAGCTAAACTCGGCTGTGTGCTTAAGACATGCCGCGCTGGACAAGACAGCAATCCACATCTAAGTCGCCTGGCCCGCTGATTTTTCTGTTCGCTGCCATTGGAAGCTTTCACCGAAGTCCGAAAGCAAGTCGGGCCCCCAGAGATCTACCACATTCCGATCGCTGACATCAGACTTAATATCGACGTTTCTCCAGGGCTACAACGTCCATCCGAAGGCATAGCTTTGACTGTGGGCCGGATAGGCCAGCAAGGATCAGGCGGCGTTTAACCTCCTAGTGTTGAACAGAGTCCTGGTTTCTCCGTCGCTGTTCCGTCGATCGTCGATTTAGTGTTTGGAAAGTCGACTTCGGAAGGCATCCTTCCTAACCTCGTTGCCTTCGATAATCAGAGAAGTTGGCCGCATCTGTAAGGTGCTAGACAAGTTTCTTATATGTTCAATCGGATCAGGCAGGTGAGGGACGGGAAATAGGCGCAGCTAACTGACCTTGGCGAGAGCTGGGCGACTTCTTCTTCATGCCAGGTTTCGGACGGACCCGAGCCATTTCTATGAAAGCGTTCGTAGGTTACGGCGCTTCATGTTTGAGGATTAATGCTTCTCTTTGTGGGTCTTTCTGGAATACGAAATAGCCGCGGACTGCAACGGTCAAATGCGTGTTTTCCCACCGAAACTCTGATAGCTCACCATAGATTTCCTATCATAATTCTGGGGTTTGTGCTCTAAGGAGTGGATCCCGTCAGAAGGCTTGATTTCGCAAGGAAAAGAGTGGGTTTATGTCCTCCTTACCCAGAGGGGTGAATGCCAAGCTGCATTCCATCAGATTGTTTTCGATACTGCCTTCAATAAAACTTTGAGCAGTCTGGGGCGTTGATATGGCGGTTGTTAAGTTGTCCAGTAGCTAGCTCTGGCTTTCATCTTATGATATGCATAATAGGGCCCCAGTGCGTCGGATACCACTGACTTCTCCCATGAGGTTGGCGAATCTGCCCGATATCCTGCTTACAGGCAGCTGAAGTCATGGACCAGTGAAAGGGACGGCCCATGAAAGCTGAAGCTATTTGAGATAGTTTGTTTCAGCAAGACCACCGGCAGAGAAGGTGAGTTCATCAGGCATATGCTGAGAAGAAACCCGTTAAGGCTATCCGAAAGAAGGGTCATCGAGCCGAACCAGAGAGATCTAGGCCAGTCGACTCAGATAGAAGAAGCTCAGCTTTTCTTGCTAATAGCACGTATGCGCGACCTGAGTAGCAAAAACCGAAACTGGGGGTTGGAACGTTTGCCAGCAGGTCGGGATCACTTTCTGAGAGTTGAAGGTTAACATGAAGTGAAGATAGCAAGCAACTGACAGGAGATAAACTCAAACTGTCATTCTGCAGTCGTTCCGCAGTCTTTCTACCACTTCGAAAAGCCCCAAGTGGTAGGTTGTGGTGAGAGGGGCGGATCTTCTGGACGTCAAACATTGCTCCGTATTTGTGACTGATTGGTCGCGACTCGGAGATACCAGGTTCGATTTTCCTCCCAACCATGATGTCGCCAGTGCCCATACTTGCTAACATCCCTGGTCGTTGAACATCACTGTCGATAGAAGCATCAAATTGTCCTCAGGCCATCAGCAGCAATGAAGATTACCTACGGGAAGGCTCATGGCGCGTACAGCAAGGGGACAGACGTCGACCAACCAGCAATGGGAATGGAAGAGGTCATTCTTTGGCACAATCCGCCTCAAACCAATCAGTCTATGTAGACTGGATGTATGAGGCGTTTCCAAGCTATACTGGCTCATCGCGACCCAACGGTCGTGATCTTGGGCTATTCCCTTGAGCTAATAGTCTACAGCAACCCGCAAAATGAGAGTCGCCAATCTCCTTTGCCAGCCTGACGAGTCCGGATCTGCTTCCCCGTCCTAAAAAGTGCCATCGGATTTGAAGGCTTCGACCTTTTTCCCTTCTCATTTTTTCTCATTCCGCAACTCAGTGAAAACGAATGATTAAGGCTGGAATGGCTTCCACGCCTTCTTCATTATGGAATGTCTCCATGACTGAAGAGAGCCTCTCAACATGGCCATTATTCTCCCCCTCGCTTTCCCAGCATTTGGAACATGTAAGATTTCGGCTCCTTTTTCTATCAGAAAGTCACGAACGGGCTTGGCTCGATCGCTCATGTAAATTGCGCTGGTGACCGATCACCTCTCTTCTGCGTTCGACAACGACTGGTCGTTGGAAAAGAAACATATATACCCCCACACCTCTCGAAACCACTTTTTCCCGCTAACATATTCTTTGGCCCATAACAGGTCGCTTCGTCAAGAGCTGCCTCTCCCTGCTCTCGCTTCAACACTCGTTCCTACCCGAATCTAGACAATACTACTCTTGAGGAAAGCTGTTCAAGCGTTTTGCGACAAGAGGTTGGTAGTGCTCCCACCGAATCTCAAGAGGGAATACTTCTACTAGGCGAGTTCATATATCGTCCACTACGGCTAATCCTTCCTAACTTCGCGCCGCAGACATACACAGAAGGCGCGTCGACACTCCTCGTAACAATTCGGCAACTATGGACACTGCGAGGAACAGTGGAATCGATGTAAGCAAGACGCTCAGTTCAGGTGGCCCTGCTGGATCGTACTTCCCCGATCCTGGACATTACCAGCAACAGAAGAGTCGAAGAAGAAAATGGCTGGTGAGTGAACAGCCTAGGGAGGCTCTCCAAGCCCCAGTGGCTCTCCTCAGCTAACGCCATCCACCATGTAGATACTGGGAGTTGGTTTCGCATTTCTTGGGCTCGCCATCGCAGGGGCTACTGTAGGTGGTATTATCAGGAGCCGCAGGGCTGCGAAGATGGGTGAGTGTCCAGATACCTGCCTGTTTTCGGGGCTCCTGATTGATGCCTTTTCTCTCTCCTAAGACCTTGCGAACACTTCA